AGTGTTCCGGATTCTGCGCATGGAGGCTTAGTAATCTCGCGCTTCTGTCGCACGTTTCTCTCGCGCGTGACGCAAGAGTTATCTGTTCCCCGCGCGAGGAAACTAGCAGGAGCCACCTTAAGCGAGCGGAGGCAAATACAAGGTGAATGAGAGGAGAGCGCGAAGGGTAAGTCACGCGCGACAGGAGGAGTGCGTGACTCGCGCCTCCTCTCACGAGTGTCTTCCTTTTCGTGTTCGCCTCGCGCTTTGCTACGCTTCCTTGGATACGCTAAAAAGACTTCTCTTTTGCATGCTTAATGTTCCCTCGTTCCTGGTGATTTCGATCGATTCTTGGACCATAGTGTTAATTCTTAAATCATCAAAGAAACTTGTCAGCTTTTGGGCGAGGATCTTACAGTGCAAAATGCAACCTTTATACCGTTATCGTCTACGTTAATGGCACCAACAAAGTTTGTGCCTATGCTCTCAAGTGCTGTAAATCATCAGTAAATTATGCACCTACCATAGACCCGCAATGAGGACCACGCAGGTCTAGCACTGGCTTAACTTTAAAATTGTTGTCAGTTTCGTGGTATGCAGACATATCATGACGAGCGCGATTTGTTTTTCTTTTGTTAATATCCATTTATAAATTTTTACCAACCTTGATTGAATATCCAACGCTGTATGACTTCTAAAGAAGTCGATCTCAATTTGTTCACCTCCTCCTTCAAATGCTTCCGGCTCGTATAACCAAATCTCATACTCCTTTCATAAACGTCTCTGCCGCTCACCACAGTTACCTCGCTCCTTAAGTTCAGACCTTTAAAAAACTTTTCAATCCCCTCAGTGTTGCAAGTCTCCTCAAACTCGATAATCAGAACTGCCACACTGCTGTGATAAGATATGGGACGATCACCAGGATTCCTCAATTTCTCTATATCCTGTAAAGGAAGAGCGGTTCGCAGCGATCTTGCGGTTCGTGGTTTTCCTTCTTCAAGCAAATTTATCAGATCATATAACTGCAGAGCTTCAAAGACCTCTCTTAATTCCTTGACAGGTGTGTCCGGGAACATACCGAAAATATCACTAAATTCGGGTATCCCAGACGAGAACTTGTGAGGATCAATTCCAAATGACCGAAGTAATTGTTTCCAAGCAGCTTCGTCACTCCTCAGTCTTGCCTCCAGTTTTCTGATTACGTCCTCGCTGAGATCTTTCCAGCAAAGCCTGTGGTCGCCGCCTGACAATACAAACAATACAAAGATATGAAGGATCTAAGACTAAACACCACGACGACAGGGTAAATCAACTGCATTATTATTAAGAAAGTCATGCTCTTGAGGAACACAGACAGGTATCTATTAATGAATCAATTTGTTGGAAGAATATAAATCAAGGTATTTTTTCAAGAAATACCACACACGTATGTTTGCTCAGAATTTCTTCTGCCTACAATTCTACGAGCGATCCCCTACAATTTTCAAACGGCTCCTAAGTGTATGTAAGTAGTTTGATGCTTACGATCCAAATTACTCGTCCTTTCCACCTTCAGGGTTTCCTCAAGCTCTGTGATCC